GTTAATCCACTGCCTTGCAGTGCTCTCTGGAGCTGTCTTCTATACTTTCAAAACTATTTAATAAGTGCTTATTAGATTCTTGTTTTCCAGCCTGCGGGAAAGCAGCATCTGCTATCTCTATTTTCAAAAATTTCTAAGAGAAGAGGTCAAATGGTATATTATTAGGGCGCCCAAGTTCGTTTCGGTCCCAAAACAAAAAAGAAAAAAAAGGAAGCAAACTAAAAAAAGTCCCGTAAATCATTTCATTGTATGCTATCTTAGCAACGAAGACAGGGCTTCATATATTTTTACCCAGGGATTTGTCTTGGCTGATAACAACAACTTGTGACGTTATATGGTATAAAATGATGATATTATATGTGAGAAAACATGTGAGAAAAGCATTATTCAATATTGAACAAAAACAAATGTTAACTTAAGAAGTTGCTCTTAAACAAGCCATTAATTAAAGATTTAGGCCATATGAAGACAGGGTTAATATGCAAAATTTAGATTATTTTGTTAAAAAAATGCTAATAACAGAGCTTTTAAGAGTAAAAAAAAAATCTTTAAAAGTGTTTTTGCCAATTTTCAATTTTAGTAATAACTTATAAACGTAATCTTATTGGCTAATGATTTGCATCTTAAATTTCAAGGGTATCCTCAGTATGCTTTAGAAATTTGGTTAACAGTTTCGATTTTAAATATATTTGTTAAATTTTTTAATAAGAAATTAGTTTACATGTCAAATTACCTATTAGTTCAAGAAAATTTTCATTAATTCTTGATTAAATTTATAATATGCCCTTAAACTAAAAAACCATTTATGCCACTAAGTCTGAATGGAAAATATTTTAGCAAATTTAATTTTAAACACTTTTTCCACCATTATAGATGTAAAAAACTATTTTGATTATTGTTTTTTTTTCAACAGAAATATACAAGTTTTTTATTTTGTTTATATTTTTTTATTAAAAAGTGCCTTTTTGTAGAGTACTACCTTAAATCAACTGATAATTTTCTAAACTTTATCTAAACTAAAAAAACTAAATCTCCTTCAAAAGTCATCAATTTGTTTAAAATTAAAAAAAAACTAAAAGAAAATTAAAACAGTAACAAATAATTTAGAATAAATTTAAAAATTTCAAACTTTAAAATAAAAGTAAAACTTTTAAAATAAGGTGTAGAAGATTGTATATAATTATATATAAAATGTATTTTACATTTACAATTTTAAATTTACATAAGTAACATATTTACATATCTATATATATTATCTATTTTCTATAAAAAAAAAAGTTCAATAAAACTTTTTCTTGACATTAACAAATAAAATTGTATCTGGGTCAAATCGAAAGAGTCGTTATTTTTGATGTTATATTGCAAAGTTGATTCACCACTGTGTCTTAAAACAGCCAGAAATTACCACACAACCATACTTTATTGAATACATACAAATTGCATTTCAAAATCAATACACAAGTATACATGACTATAAGTTAAAGACTAACTGATCAGGTTTTTAGATTATGAAGTGCCTACATCAGAAGTTGATTGTATTTCAATGCAACAGAAATGTCAATTTTACTGCCCGTAAATAATCTCAAGTTAAAAGTGAAATAGATCTATAATTGACATCATTGGACATATCAATATCTTATACCAAATACATACTATATGTCAGATATATATATATATATATATATATATATATATATATATATATATATATATATATATATATACAGTGCTCGAAGGTTACCATCTTGTCACCTTTTATAAAGTATAAACCATCCCTTCACCTTGTTAAAAATTTCTATATATATAACAATAATTAGGCAGGATGGTATTTTTGATTTATTGAATACCATCCCACTACTTTTATATAAATAAATAGATTACGAGAGCTTTTGTTTTTCGCTTGTGCGAAAAACAAAAGCTCTCGTAAAAAGCAGTTTAGAGGAGCAGCTCTCATGGCTCGATGAAGAGTGAAAAAAAAAAACTACAGATTTAAATACCATAAAAGAATTCTTCCTAGTTTTTGGTATACATAATCTCTAAACAAGGATGAAGAGTTCAAAAAAAAAACTACAGATTTAAATACCATAAAAAGATTCTTCACAGTGCTAGAAGCGGTCAAAAAAAGTAGTGGGATGGTATTCAATAAATCAAAAATACCATCCTGCCTAATTATTGTTATATATGTAGAAATTTTTAACAAGGTGAAGGGATGGTTTATACTTTATAAAAGGTGACAAGATGGTAACCTTCGAGTACTGTATATATATATATATATATATATATATATATATATATACATATATATATATATATATATATATATATATATATATATATATATATATATATATATATATATATATATATATATATATATATATATATATATATATATATATATATATATATATATATATATATATATATATATATATATATATATAGGTATATACACACATACAACCCTTGGAATTAGGGCCAGTATTTGGCAATGCCAATCTAATTGCCAACCCTAAAGTGTTTAAAGTCGACCTTGTTTCTATGTTTTAAGGTAAGCCCAAATAAGTACCAAATTTTTTTTGAGGGTTACATATATATATAAATATATATATATATATATATATATATATATATATATATATATATATATATATATATATATATATATATATATATATAGATATATATATATATATATATATATATATATATATATATATATATAACAATAATTTTTACTATAACAATAATGTTTGCTATAAAATAAAGTGCTGAATGCTCCTAAAAGAACAGAGCAGCAATAAATAATTAAAAATAATTTACTTATTTCAATTTAACACATGTGTTGTCAATAAAAAATTTTCAGAAGCAAATTTATTTTTTGGAAGAGTCATTATTGACAAAAAATTGTGTAAAATGAAAATTGATAAGTGATTTCTACTAATATATATATATATATATATATATATATATATATATATATATATATATATATATATATATATATATATATATATATATATATATATATATATATATGCATATATATATATATTATAAATATATATGCATATATATACATATATATATGTATATGTATATATGCATATATATATATATATACATATACATATTATTTATTTATATATATACATATTTATATATACACATAAATAAACAAAATATATAAAACAATATTTAAAAGCATAACTTTTGACGTGTAAAAGTTTTATTTAATTTTATATATATATATATATATATATATATGTATATGTATATATGCATATATATATATATATATACATATACATATTATTTATTTATATATATACATATTTATATATACACATAAATAAACAAAATATATAAAACAATATTTAAAAGCATAACTTTTGACGTGTAAAAGTTTTATTTAATTTTATATATATATATATATATATATATATATATGTATATATATATATATATATATATATATATATATATATATATATATATATATATATATATATTATATATATATATATATATATATTTATACAAATATTATTGTGTACTAAGGTAAGCAATCTGGCGTCATACTGAAATAGCCTGCTGCTGGGGGCTTCAGTACATACATCGACTGACAAATAGCCTGACTTGCAGTGGAGTGCTGCTACATCGACTGAGGGTTTGGGATGGGGCAGCAATCGTTTCATTCATCATTTTTCATTTTTTTTCTTCTTTTTCTAAAAAAGTTGTATGGGTTAAGGTAAGCAAAAAAAAGTGAGCAAACGCTTATAAAAATACGCTTTAGTAAGTGTATATATATATATATATATATATATATATATATATATATATATATATATATATATATATATATATATATATATATTTATATACTAAATATATGTACCTAATATATTATGCACATATACAAAATATGTATTAAATATATTCAAGCTTTTTATTGGTAATAAAGAGTTTCAATACAACTCTTTGATGTTGAAAAATAGAAATCAGTTATTAAAAAAGAAAGCTAGTTAAAAATGAAAACCTAATTAAAGAGTTTATTCAAAAAAAGAAATATATTTATAACACCATGCATTGTATCTTCTTATTTTCTGATATCTAATATTATTCTGCGAAAAATATTTTAATGGCTGAACTAAATCAATATAAACGGCGAATGGCAATTTAATATAAAAACCTCTTTATAGAAACTCTACCTTGCGATGTAGCTTTTCTATACATAATGTGTCGGAAATCTATACATTAAAGTAGTATTTCCATACCGCGTTGAGTTTCTATACAAATTTGTCGTATTTCTATACAGTTTTTATAGAAACTCTACACATTCCTCTTGTCATCATCATCATGATCATGATCATGATCATCATGGTCATCATCATCATCATCATCATCATCATCATCATCATCATCATCATCATCATCATCATCATCATTACCACCACCACTAATAGAAGCATCATCATCATCAGTATCAGCATCATTATTATAATTATCACCAATTTAGAGTAAAAAATATGTCATCTATAATATGACATTTATGGTCATTTATAGTTTATCATCATTGTTATTTCTTATGTCATTTATGATGTCCTATATCAAGTCCTACAATATTTCCTATATATTTACAATATATATGACATATTTTAAATGACATGAGAAATGACAATATATATGATAAATTTTAAATGATATGAGAGATGACAATCATGATGATTAACATGTCATTTATTGGATCATGTCATTTGCATCATGTCATTTATTGCATTATATCATTTATTGTATAATGCCATTTATTGCATCATGTCATTTATTGGATCATGCCATTTATTGCATCATGTCATTTATTGTATCATAACTTTTATTGTGACATGTCTTAATATTGTATCGGAAAGTTTATTGTATCATGTCTTTTACACATTTCTAAAACTTAATGCAAAAGTTTTAAAATGGCATATATATTTACTGTATCACTTTTTAAATTTCAGGATGGAAATAAAATTGTAGATAAATATTGCAATGACTATTCATCAAATTGCATGGAAAAAAGGTTAAGTTTATTTTAATGTAGAACTTAATAGTCTTTGTATTAAAAATATCCATAGTTTTAATGTGGAATTACATTTGTTTTTTTATTGTTTATAACATTGTTGCTTTTGTGTAAAAATAATATTGTTGTATACTTGAATGTATTATTCGGTTAGTGTTAGATAAATAGAAAGTTAAGTGATGTGTTGATAAGTAGTGAGTAAGTATATATCAGTTGGTTATTAAGTTGTTTTCATATATATCAATATAATTTTAAAATATTATAATTTCGGCTGTATTTGTAGTATAAATATACGCTGTGGTTCAAAGCTGAGAAATAAATTGAATGATGAATAAAAAACTTTCCAAAAAAACATTTTTACATAGTTTTTGTTTATTAATTTATAATTATTTAAAATGCAAAGCATGGCTAAAAAATAAATGTTTTATATATAGATTATTAGAAATTATATTGATCTGTTTTTAAAATTAACTTGAAATTGAAATGAAATGGATTGTAAAGGTTATAAAATGTTTTAAGATATAAATTAAACATTTACGCTTTTCTTTTCAATCCTTTTTATCTTTAATTTATGGGTAGTGCACAAACAAAGCACTGAATTGAGGCTAATTATTGGACTGGCATGCACCAGTTATATAATATTTTCCATTTGCATTTTTTACATCTGCCAATTTGCCTCTTGTAGAAACTTTTGCAGAAACTTACTCCAAACTTTTGTATCTATCTATATTATTTTATTGTATAAATATGCAATGTCATTCAAAAAAAAAGAAACAATTTATTTTAACAAGAGAATTTTTATGTTCTCTTACAATTATTATAGACATAACTGATTGGAAACAACAGCAATCAAATTAAAAGCAATAAAATTAAAATGTTTTTAATGAGTAGCTCTCAAATGTTTTTAAGTCTTTTTAAGTAGATAAGTTCTCAAAACAGGTTAAAAAAGTTTTGGTGTGCTGGTGCATGACAGCTAATGTTCTAATATTAGATAATGCTGCTATATACATCTAAATTGACATTATGGTTATTTCTTTTCATATATATATATAACTAAATACTAAAATAATAAAATACAACCCTCGGAATTAGGGTCAGCATTTGGCAATGCGGACCTAACTGCCCACATCAATTTGAGGTCAGCAAAATATTGCCAACCTTGTTTCTATGTTTTATGTTAAGACCTTTGTATTAAATTTTTTTTACTGACCTGATGCCGACCTCTAAAAGATTGAGGTTGGCAAGTTATTGCCGACCTCATTTTTCCCAATTCCAAGAGTTGAAAATAATAAAATACAACTTAATGGTTAATTAGCTAATATAATATTTTTAATTAAATTTAATTTTGCATAAGTTTTTAAAGAAGTTAATTAATAAAAGTTCATTTATTTAACAGCGTTGATCTTGATGACAATGGTAAATTGAATATCATTGCACATGTAGAATGTGATGGTAAGTTAACATCAACATTTAAAAATTATTATTTTTTTTAATTCTTAAGCCAATTTAAATAAAACGTTTTCTTAGTTAAAAGCTTAGTTAAAAATTCAATTTAAGACCATATCTATATATATATCTATATATATATATATCTATAAATATTTATCTATATATATATATATATATATATATATATATATATATATATATATATATATATATATATATATATATATATATATACATATATATATATATAGATATATATAGATATATATACATACATACACATATATATCCATATACAGGCCTTGATAAGGCAAGCAAGAGCTATATCTATTGCTCTCACCCACACTCTCCTATAATGGTTTACGGGAGCAGTTTATGGCTCTCGCAAATGTATAATTTTTTCTCTCAAAAGTATAATTATCATTGTAATTAAAAATGAAAAACTCAAAATTACTTTTATATATATAAAAAACTAATTTTATAATAAACTGCAATGCTTTTTAAAAGGGATGGTTGTTAAAAGAATTTTTTTTATTGCGCAATAAATGACACTTGTTACATATATATATTCTTGTAATATTAAGGTTACAAACATATGTAACCTTAATGTTACAAGAATTGTAACATTAAGGTTATATATGTTTGTAATAATATTTTGTCGAGGCCTATATATATATATATATATATATATATATATATATATATATATATATATATATATATATATATATATATATATATATATATATATATATATATACAAACATATGTAACCTTAATGTTACAAGAATTGTAACATTAAGGTTATATATGTTTGTAATAATATTTTGTCGAGGCCTATATATATATATATATATATATATATATATATATATATATATATATATATATATATATATATATATATATATATATATATATATATATATATATATATATATATATATATATATATATATATATATATGTATATATATATATATATATATATATATATATATATATATATATATATGTATATATATATATATGTATATATATACATATATATATATATATGTATATATATATATATATATATATATATATATATATATATATATATATATATATATATATATATATATATATATATATATATATATATATATATATATATATATATATATATATATATATATATATATATATATATATATAGATCAGGCTTAGTCGGGAAGTGGGTGTGATCGCACTCGATAACTGACCACGGAAATAATATTTAGTTGAGAAAAACCGGACAGATTTTTTATACGTTTTGAGAACATTTAAGTTTATATTTGTTTGAGAACATTTAAGTTTATATATGTTTATATTGTTTTATATATTTTGTTTATTTATGTGTATATATAAATATGTATATATATAAATAAATAATATGTATATGTATATATATATATATATATAATTTATGTTTCCTTGTTTGTCCGCAAAATAATAACTAAATTCATAAATTAAAAAAATATTTTGTTTTACAGATTTACATGGAAACATACATAAACTCAAATGTTCTTAAACATCTTTGTGCGGAAAAATAAAAAAAGAATATTCGCGAACACAAAAAACCCGCCAAATCTACAAACAACTAATTCTATTGGTTCAAAAAATACTAGACGAAATTTCTAGAGTATTCAAAAAAAACTAACCGAATGTTCTAGAGTATTCTGTGGAAATATTTAAAAAATTGTATTATTTGAGTTTTGTTATGTTTTCGTTGAGATTTCTAGCATAAATTGTTTTGAGAATATACTATCAAACGAACTATTATTTAATACTATTCTTAGAGCCACATCTACAAAGCTATAAATGTTTTAAACTAACATTATTTGTTTACAAAAAAAATAAATGTTTTCAATTTATATTTTTTAAATTGTCATCGTTTTGTAAATATATTACAGATTTTATTTGTGTATTCTTATTTTTTATATATAAGGGATGTATTTTTATCTATGTAATGTATTTTTATGTAAGTAACGTGTTTTTATGTATATATTTTTATGTAAGTAATTTTTGCGTATGTAATTTTATGTATGTGTATTTTATTCAAATGTAATCTTTTAAAGCAATTTGTGCGATTGATTTTGAAAAACAAAAATACTATCAATAATAACTGCGTTTTCAATGAAATTATTAATAATCATCAAAGTTAATACAAATAATTTTAACCACTAATCCATTTTCCTCAGTGTATCTGATAACTGATTTTTTTCCCCAGGAAAGAAAAGTTTTTAAGTTTTTAGAAATTAGTTTACTAACTTCAATTATTTTTGCTTCAGCCATTCTTACAAGCTCATTATACTTAAACTTAAAATTACTTTTTTCTGTTTTAAATACTAATTAAAATTGTAAAACTCACTCACTAAACATCATCAGCGGTATTGTGAAACAGTTCCGCTTCTTCCTCACAAAATAATTTGACGTTTTTAGTTAATTTCTATCTAGCTGATTGAATTTCTACAATAACTCAATGATTTAATTATTTCATTTGTTCATCTTACTAAGAAGAATTGTTTTAAATGTGTTAAACTTTTCAAACTACGCGAAGCATATAACAGTTATTGAAAAAACTTTTTTATTAATAAATAAATTATCTAGCCTTAGTTTTATTGATTGAATATTGTTGGACTTTTCAGGGCCGGGGGTTGCATAATTTCGGTGGCCTTTTTCAGGTACCACAGCGTAAAAATGACTCAAAAATACCAAATGATCTTGACTATTTCGCGGCCCCTAACATTGTGAGTCCCAGTACTATAGCCCTTCTATAGTCTTGGGACTCACAATGTGAGTCCCAGGACTATAGAGGTATATAGCACTGGAAATAAGATATAAGCATATAAAAAAAAATTATATATACTCTTTGATAAATCGAAGAACATTTATTTCCTTATTAAACAATCATTAATAGTAAGTTGTTACTTTATATAAAAAATTTCGCTTATTTTTATAAAAAAAAATATAAAAGAGCGACGTTTCAAAAACATTTTTTCTAATCGTATTTATTTTGCTTACAGTTTTTTTGCGTTAAAAGCTATTTTTCTATTTTTAACTGTCTCTCATTGGTCCAGTTAATCTTATTGCGCTTTTTTGTTTGTTTTTGGAATGTTCTCAAAACGACTAAAAAATCTGGCTAGTTTGATGCAACTAAATATTATTTCCGTGGTCAATTATCGAGTGCGATCGCACCCGCTTCCCGAGCAAGCCTGATAGATATATATAGATATATATGTATGTATGTATACGTATACATATATACATATATATATATATATATATATATATATATATATATATATATATATATATATATATATATATATATATATATATATGTATATGTATACATATATATATATATATATATATATATATATATGTATATGTATACAAATATATATATATATATATATATATATATATATATATATATATATATATATATATATATATATATATATATATATATATATATATGTATATATATATATATATATATATATATATATATATATATATATGTATATATATGTATATATATGTATATATATATATATATATATATATATATATATATATATATATATATATATATATATATATATATATATATATATATATAACGCTTGGAATTAGGGTCGGCAGACCTGAAAGTGTTTGAGGTCAGCAAAAAATTGCCGACCTCGTTTCTATGTTTTATTGTCAGAGCTTTATGTTAAATAATTTTTGCCGACCTCAAAAAGATCGAGGTCGGCAAATTATTGCTGACCTCATTTTTCCTAATTCCAAGGGTATATATACATATATATTTACATATACGGAGCCAGATTTTTCTATAGACAAGTTAAGCTGCAGCTTAAGGCCCCATGATAATAAACTGAAAGACAACGTTAATGTAGTGATTGAGTACATGTTATTGCCAAAATTAATTCAAGTTTCTATGGATGGATCCAGTTTGAACTGGAAATTTTTTGATGCTCTAGGAGAATAGTCTCTTAGCTAAATTTGATATTCAGTTAATATTGGATAGTGTAGTCTCCATGTAGTTTATGGGGTATTTCAGAAGATATACAAAAAAGCTGGTTGGAAAGGTAATTGGTAATTCAGTATTAAGTTCTTTATATAGACTTTTTTAGATTTATCAAAAAAAAAGTTTTCACAAATGTTGATACATTACAAAAGTTGTGGAAGGTAGATCTGCATAATGAAAAGTGCAATTGGAGAGTCGTGGTAATTGGTGTTGGAGCTGTTTTTGAGTTACAGAATTGTAAAATTCTTAGTAATCAAAAAATTAAAATTCAAGAAGAATGCGTTAGCTTTTTAATTACTGTAGTCACTCAATTAAAAGAGTGTTCTCCACTTAAATACAAGGCTACTAGGCATTTATCATTGTTTTTATCAAAGGTTATCATCAGATCACCTGACAAAGCGTAAGGTGCATTTTGATTCTTTAGCATCATTTCTACATCAATCTAGGCTAATAAAATCAGTCTTAGTTGATCAAGCAATGAGCCAGTATGCTTGTCTATGCAATTTGGCATCATTAAAAATAGAGAGTTTTGAATATTTTGATTTTAATAAGCAGCGTTTAGGTGACTTTTATTATGAACTAATTAGCAAAGATACTCAGTATCGTTTGAAATAGAGCAAGGTTTTAGTGTTAACTCAAATGTTTTCGTAGAAAATCTTGCAGCAGAATCTGTAGTTGCCCAGTGACAAATTTATGATGCAATCCTTGATGTTGGTGGGTGTGCGATGTACATATCAAACCAAAAATGTTGAAAAGTGTCTGTTTATTGTATGACTGATACCAACAAGCTCTTTCTGACAATAGAAAAGTAAAAAAGAACAACAAAAAGAGTTGTGTGAAAAGCAGTGTGCTATACAATTAATGAAGAGTTAAAGGTTAAAACCAAAAAATTCAGATTAGAAAAGAATGTTGAAAGGGAATTGGTTGCTATTAATGCTGA